AGCACACTTGTAGACAGGACTCAGTGTTAGTCTTTGGTAACTATGCTATATATTTTCGGCTTTGTATCATTTCTTTTCATTTGTACCAACAAGTCACAGATGATCGTACTACTTCCTTTACAGCCATACTCCTGCTTCCGAAGGCGGAGTATATATAGTAGCTAGCGTGCTATGAAAATTGGCTCAATGGAGTCAAAGAGTACTGTGAAATGACTTTGCGTCGAACGGGCAGCTGAAAAAACTTGCAGTGTTGGACCTTCCTAGCTGAGACAGATGTTGTGGGGGTCAGGTGGTTGCTGGGTCTTCCTTCATTTCCTTATCTTCTCACTGCTCATCTTCCGGTCGGTAGTTCCCTGTATATGAAGTTCGAAGTTAATCTAGGCAACATCGGAGATAAGTAACTATTGCGTATTAGTTCAAGGGTCCGGCTATGCCCGGGCTCCTGGGCCCCACTGCTAAGCTCAGCGCCACAGCCCCTATTGATCTTCGTAGTTCCTACTCCTTCTGTGGGTGGAGTACATCTGCTAAGGAGCAATATTATACCATAGAAAATCATACTAAATCTCGAGAATCTGTTGTAGAATAGGGAGATACTTACACTGGATAATGGATGGAATCTTGGGCTGCCTGCATTTATAAACCGCTAGAGAAAGGTAGACTTATAGGAGCCAAACATGAAAGGATTATTACTTTATCAATAAAACATTTCTGACTCTAATGCAAAGAGGGAACACATTAGTGCCATGGAACTACTAACCCGGACCAAAATCCCCCTTCAGTAGACCACTATACGCGCTTTGATTCGTTCCTGCTGTACCACTTGGTAAGCCCGGCGGCTAATCATCGGAGAAAATCTGATCGGGCATCGCTATCGTTTTTACTAAACTTGTTCTTACTGATCCTAACTCCTGGAAACAAAGCCTGATCTATGATTACGTTATGTTGAGAAGTCTCGCTAAGTAAGCATACTATCACCTGACATCCAGCCTTTGTAGTCTCGTTCTACGCTTCACCCCCTCACTCTATTGTTTCTAGTAGACTTGTCACGCTGGCTGCATCAAAACAATTACCAAAATCGTCTTCGTGACATGCTGCTCTGGGTACCCGGCCCAAATGAGAGAAACTTAGCCACGAAATAATGCTAAACTCGCAGCTCCGGAATCCAGTCGCTCCACTGTCGCAACCACACTTTCATCAGCGATGCATCCACCGGACCCAACGCACGCAAAGCCTCACTATGCTTCTGAGAGTTAGTGGTGTCCGCAGGAGGACGAATCCAACCGTCAGAATCAGCCAGTGACCTGAAAAAATCTAGGAGTGACGCCGCAGGGATATCCTGCAAGATCTCTTCGTTGAGTTTCAGGTCAGATACACGGTCCGTCAGGTTTTGCACCCATTCCTTTAGCGGAATTATTCTGGAGGAACAGGCTTGGCTTATAATCTGTGCTAATGGCCCCCAGTTACCAAGATGTGGGTTTGTGATATGATAGACCTCGGCGTTGTTCGACCCGGTGGAAGCTAACCGATCATTATGTCTCCCGCAGGCGATCTGAACAATACTCCGAGCAGCGACATCCTACGAGGTTAGTACACTAGGGCTTTATCAAAAAAAGACATATAAGCAAGTGGTTCACTTACAATGGGCACCCAATCCACTGGAATTGACCCAATGCTGTCAGGCAACTCTTTCATCGTCTGAGACGTTCGTACCAGTGCCGGAAACCAGTCTCGTGTCGTCCACATACCTGCCTCAGCATCTGTAGGTCCTCCCAGTTGACCAACACGGTGAACGACAATTCTCTGTTTGGTTTCCCTCGCGACGAGGTCACAGAGAACTTCTGCCGCGTACTTCGATTCTGCATAGCCTTGACTAAGTACTGTTGACGGCCCATGCAGTGTTTCTGCAATGTGATCAATTTCAGGCACAATGGTAGGGCGACCACTAACGGCCGCGATGGAAGAAATGAAATGGAATGCGGCCTGGCGAGGTGAGCCCTTGATTAGGTTGAGAAGCCGTCCCGTCCCTTCCAGCTGAGAACGAAAACTGGACAGTGGCAGATTGAAATTCACCATCCAAGCATTATGGAATACAATATCCACTCGCTCTCGCAAGTAACTGTATTCATCCGCAGTTAGCCCGAGTCTCTCTTGGCTCAAGTCAGCCTGCCAGAATTTGACTCGAGAAGTATCCACAAGCCAGCCATCAGCTAACCGCTTCTCACGAAATCTAGCGAGCTGTCGGCTTTCCGCATTTCCCGAACGATTGAGGCAATATACCTGTGCAATAGTCGGATCCTGCAGCAGCTCCTCTAGAAGAAAGCTGCCAAGCTCGCCAGTCGAACCAGTCAGAAGGACCGTCTTTCCGCTAAGCTGGAGGTTCTGTGCCTGCTGCCAGATTGCATGCGTCAATTGATGCTCTCGTGGCCAGAAGCTCGATGTGTGCTTCTCGCCTTCCGCTTCAAGATGACCATGTAGTTGTTGGAAAAGCGTACTTGCGAGACGCCGGACCGTGGCTTGCTCATAGATGACGGCACTGGTCCACAAGGCAGCTATTTGCTTAGATTGACGCATGCGATCGGCCGCATCTTGCAGTGCCTGCGCGAGTCGAACTACCTGAAGAGAATCCATCCCTAGAGTGACAATATCGGCATCTAGATCCACAGAGATCCCACCCAAGATCCGAGAAACAGCCTCTTGTAGCCACAGCTCGATGCCTTCCATAGTCGTCTCTTGCAGTTTTTCCACGTCATTAATAGAGCCTTCGTTACCTGTTGCATCACTGTATAATTTATTGATAACATCCTCATAGAGCTGAGCCGTTTCTCGCCGGCGAAGTGACCCCTTGGGGGCCAGCGCAAATAGCCGATCGCGAGAAGCAACAGCGATACGGTTGTGATGGATTTGTCCATGGGCAGGCAACAAGCCGTTGGCATTTCTCACGAGGGGCTCCAGAGCCTGCTTCAGCCATTGTGGGGTCCATGTCTCCGGGAGCTCATCCCATAGAGGTTGAACTAGCAAGGCCACTTGGAATCGATTCTGGCCGAAAATAGCAGCACGATGAATGAAGGAATGGGATTCAAGGAGGTGCTCGGCATCAATAGGGTTCAGCTTTTCGCCGTTGTTTAGAACTATGATGTCATCTGCCCTCCCCTTTGATCGCCACAGGTGCGGTTTTGTTGGATGAGGTTCAAAAAGATCACCCGTACGATATTCGCTAAGATTTGGAAAGGCGTGAAAAATGGCATGATACCGACGGGAGGAAGGTCGAGGGATAACTAACTCCCACAGTCCATCACCGACTTCCTCCATGCGATGTTCGAAGGCGGGATTCCATTCGAAGCAATCCCAGTCCGCGGGGTCTTCACACAAAAGTGTCGGTGTGTAACCGGTCTCACTGCTACCCATCAATGTTTGCAGGCGAAAGTGGGAAGAAATTGCATTTCCCGTGGCACTTGACAGTGGTGCGCCGCCAAAGTTCACTGCGGAAAAGCCCTGTATCGCCCGTCGTCCCTTCTCAGACGACCAAAGATCCTGCAACGCAAACGGAGCGATTAGACACCAACGAGGCGGATCGGGAGTTGCCATAATCCGCGAGAAGAGATCTGGGGTCAGAGGTCGATCTGGGGATAGTAGAAAAGGTGTCTCGTAGAATATGCACTCAAAAACGCATACTATTCCAATAAAGTGGAATAATGGTCCGTGGCAGAATCGCATCTCACCCTTGTGTCGCAGAAACAACTGGGCGGTTTCACGACCCTGAGGCACGGGAAGCGTTTGCATCTGATCCATCGTTGCCAGATATCCATGGGTCAGAGTTACCGGTTTGGGAAGACCCGTAGTCCCCGAGCTGTGGATGATGCTAGCTGGGCGGTCTTCTATGTCTGCAAAATTCTCTTGGTGGGGATACGGCTCGACAGGAGATGCTGCGAAGACATCCCAGACGGGATCCATACGCCATCGTTCTAACCCGAGATCAGAGCAAGCGACTTCAACCTGGTCGACAACTTTCTTTAGCTGGGGTCGCTCGCTACCGTCCACAAGCACCGAGCAATCCGTCTTCGACAGCAAATGATGAAAGGCTGCCTGTGAGTTGCGAGTGGATAGAAGTAGCGCCTAAGCCAATCAGTCAGAAATAAGCATCGATATTGTGGGACAGGAACCTCCAGCCAGGAATGTGAGATGGTCATACCGCATGGCCTGTCTTCATGCAAGCTAGCTCAAAAACCAAGTATCGCAAGTCATTGGTTCCAATATAGGCAAGAATCTGCTGCTTTTTTCCAGGGAGCCTGCTGTCAATCCACCACGCTACACGGTTCACAGCAGCAGACACCTGCTGGAACGTTATACAACGCCATTCACAATCCGCCTCCTGGGAGCTGGGGTGCAGACAGTACAAGCGATCAGGCTGATCCTTCGCTTGCTGGTCTAGCAGCTGAGTTAAAAGCCGTCCTGAAACATCAGCGGACCCCATATTGCACTCAACACTCGATCCTATATTGCTGGTAGTGCGGTCGTTGTGAGAGAGAATCTTAGGCTTCTTTATACATTTGAACACCCCACTCCATCATTCCGGAGAAGGAGACCATAAATACGTAAGTTAATCGCCCGTGGTATAGGCTTGACGATCACAAAGTCCAGATGGCGGCAGCCTACATCCCTTGCTGTACGAGAAACGTTCTTTCTACGATCTGCCAATCGTCCCTATCCTTTAGTCACAATGATGATCCTTCAGACCTGCATATGAGAGGTATGACTGACGTCAAGACTTTCCTTTCTCGAATTCTTGCGACTTGCTCCAGGCTTCTATAACAGGCAACGCTGGCGTAGCATACATGCACGCAAGTTGGTGTCACTATGGCAACTTTGAAGAGCCCAATGGTGAAAACGTGACTAACTAGAACTAGAATTCATAGGACTACGTCACCAGAAGAGCAGCGTAGTCGCATTCTTGTTTACCTTTATGCGACTACAAGGCGGCAGATAGATGGGCGAGCGATGCATTAGTGTGTTGACAACTGGCTCTGCGCCACAACCCATTCCACGGCAGACAGCATTTGCCTTATCTCTGGTCCTGATCGCGGGATGTCATGACCAGCCGAATGTTTGATTGACTTCCGAGTTTTGGAGTCGCAGAGAGACTCGACAAGAAAGCCACAATCGTCCAACCCCGGCAGATCTTCCTTTCCACGCAAATGCACAGACGGAAGTGATATATGTGTTGGTACTACGTCTGGATGCAGAACACATGGGACGAGATCAAGCGGGCGATCGAGGAAGAATGACACCGGCTCGCGTGTTATAGATTGGGTTCCCTTAATCACCTTCACAAAACTCTCCGTCACAGAACGGACTGGTTCCGGAAGCTGCGCAATCTGCTCGTCCTGCCCAGAGCGGAGACGTTGCTGATCGGCTGTTGAAAGAGAACCGATAACAGACTGACAATAAGCTTCATCCGCAGCGCATGGAATCGTGGGCGAATAGAATATTGCGAAGCGAAAAGGCAGGGGCTCGTCTGGATACGCCGTTATATGCTCGAGCAGGAACGAAATCGAGATTGCAGCGCCTTGACTGAATCCCAAGACCCCGTCAAAAGGACCATGCTCGTCAATGGCCTCTTCGATCAAGGCATGGGCTGCATCGATTTCCCCTGCATCAAACGATCGCGCCCAGCAGTAGTACGGAGGTGGGAAGGTGCTCCCAATGCCTAATTTCAGTTGGTGAAGCTCATTGTTAGCAAATAGTGGCGTGCGTTAAATGGCCGACAACCATACCTGGCGCAGGCGGGCATTCAACTTCACCTGAGAGAAAATGAAACTCCCAGCTCGGGTCAGCATCTCGCATCAACCCCGAAAGTTGAAATCGCAGAATATCCGGCCCCGTGCCGTAGCCATGAAGGCAAAGGATTTTCATTCTGTTTACTGCTTTTGGTTTGGTATTCTCACAGTATAGGTTGCGGTTGGATACGGTTGGACAAAGCTCAGGAAGGCTGTTTCGAGTCGCATCATGCCGTTCGCCCTACCAATGGACTTTAAATGGCTCCAAGCAACCAGTACAATGGCAGAAACTAGCATCCATAGTAAGCTATCTTACCTATCAAAGATGTCCATGCAGAGGCTGACGTTATCTATGATGTGGGTAGCGGGGTCGGCAGGGAGATGCGTGATCCACTTTCATTGGAGGTATGCAGGATTCCCATACTGTTCACAAGTAACAGGCAAACCATACTTGGAGGAAGTTAACAGCGACGCTGGTTATCGTTTCACGACGCCATAAGGTGACACGAACGTTGTCGATCCCAGCGGTATGACTTGAACCCACCACGTAAAATATCGACTGAATTAGTGGCATTCCACACGACCTACTGATGATGGTAAAGGCCGAGGCAAGTGATCCGGTATGTTATCACGAGACGAACTTTATCTCGCTGTTCTGCGCGATAATCTAGGATGTTGCCGGTACAGGAAGCCAATGCATTGATCCATATAAGTTCAATCATCTTCCTGACATGGCGCTCACGGGTACTTGACCCTTGCGTGTGGTCTCCACTAGTTGGAATTCTGATGAAAAGCTCCGGTGGCTCTTATTGGTCCATTGTCCGTATAGTCTACTGAGCATCGCTATTTATCCAATGAAATTGCGGTATGTCCATCTACATGACGATCGTGAAAGATATGGATGCAGGTGAACATCGGGAAATACTATTCCTGTCTGATGGACGGACCCGCTGTTGTCGTTCCGCACGGCTTAATCCATTCCTCAACCCCCCTTGTACAACATCAATCACTAAAATGGCAGGTGGTTGACCTCATGGCTTAACAAATATTTCCAGCCTCGTAGTTTCAAGCAGTTTCATCGACCTTATACACCAGCTTTGAGGCCCGCACCTTGCCTTGCCGCAGCCAATCCAACCCCGAAGCAATCCCGGCTAGGCCTCCTGGCTTGACCTGGAACCGTTGGGAGGTGACCTGACGGCTCTGCAAAAGGACTTCGACGGTATTCGCCCATTGCGCTCCAAATGAGAGATTTTCTGGCTGGGCCTGGACTTCTTTGCCTCCCATCACATATGGCTCTCCAATAATATCGTATGCCATGGAAACATGCGTATCGACATCGCCTCGGGGGCAGCGTACGTCTAGCAGTGCATTGTAACAGCCCCCAGAAGATGAAATGGCAGCTGCACAGATAGCAGCCGTTTGATTAGTGGAGATTGTATCGAAAGCTAGCTCGACGGTATCATCGGTAAACTCACGGATGCGGTCACCTACGTGAGGATCGTGATAGTCAAAGACGGCATCCGCACCCAGTTCATGCATCCAGGCACGATTAGGTTCTGAGCACGTTGTGACGACGCGCAGCCCCGATAGCTTTGCGAATTGGATCGCGAGAGAACCTGTTGACGTTGCACCACCGTAGATCAGGATGCTAGGGATATCCTCGTCATTTCCCTTCTCGTCTCTCTGCATATCCGTGATCTCATCATCACATGCCATTCCAGGGCCAGGGAGCTGCATGGACTGATACAGATTCTGGCCGATAGTCATCATGCCAACACCCAAGCAAGCGGCTCCGTCAATGCTCATCCATTCCGGCACCCTGAATTGTATGTCCCCTTTCGCGATGACATACTGCGCAAATGCACCTCCATGAGGCTGCTTCACGTTACACCCGTGGACAAAGCCGGCAACACGGTCCCCTTTCTTCCAAGGCTTCCTGACTCGTGGCCCGATAGCCTCCACGACACCAGCGTAGTCACAGCCGACGATGGTTCCTGTGCAGGTGTCGAAGTCAACGTGCTTCCAGTCCGTTGGGTTCAAAGCCACTATATTCACTTCGTTAACAACTTGCGCCCGGGTACATGAGATCAAAGCCACACTTACCTGCTTGTGTCTTCACCAGGATATAATCATCAGGCAGAGCGGGTATCGGCACATCATCGGCCAAAGTAACTTGACCGCGCTCTCGGACAATGACAGCGCGCTGAACAGCCATGGTAATCGATCCTGGTAGGCGTCCACTAGCAATGGCAAACTCAAATATTAACGTAAGAGCGGCTTGGAATGGATTCGAGACCCTGATCTAGATTCGAGAACTATCAAGTGAGCATATCAGCCTACAGTCTTATCCCTTCTATATAGCAACCGATTCCATGGATCTTCTTGGCCCGATAAGGAAGTCCCCTACCAAGAAATCCACACAATAACGATGACTGTGCCCTGCCTTGATGGAGTAACGAAGATCAAACATAGTTTATGACCTAAAGGATGGATACAGGGCTATAACTAGCAGTCCTTGCGTCATTTGTCGTTCGGTTACCTTTCTTGGGATCTTGCATTACATGCCTGAATGTTTCTAGATTCCGCGGCCATCCTAACAGCAGCTAGCCATAACGTCACATTTCAAAGCCAAATTTCAGGATGAAGTATATCACGAATCAGATCAATGAACAAATCAAGCTGGTAGTGGAAGGCTAAGCTGTTAAAAGGAAGGCCGGGAGACCATATTGACTCACTTGAGATCAGATTGAAGAAACTATCTTGTAACATCAGCCACAATGGAAGAGCAAGCCAAAGACACATCTGGCCCAGAGCCAATTGCAATCATTGGTATGGGATGTCGCTTTGCCGGCGAAGCGTCTTCTGTTGAAGGATTTTGGGACATGCTTCGCCTAGGTCGAAAGGAGCATGGGCGTGTTCCGTCTAGTCGTTATCAAGCCTCAGCCTGGGAACATCCCAGTCACGAGCGCAAAGGGGCTGTATGTTCACCATTCATGGCAATCAATTACTGCTGAAACTAACCACGGACTTATGATCTGTCATTAGATCAATCACGACAGTGGCTTCTTTCTAGCCGAGGATCCATCCCACTTCGATGCACCCTTCTTTTCCATCACGTCCAAGGAAGCTGCAGGCATGGATCCTGTTCAGCGCATCCTGCTCGAAGTGGCGTATGAAGCTTTTGAAAATGGTATTTAGATCCTTAAAAAAGCCTCAAGAAGTGATTAACTGAGATATGATCCTAGGAGGCGTGCCAATGGAATCACTACCCGGTAGTGCTACCGGTGTCTATAGCGGATGCATGACCAATGACTACGAGCTGCTGTCAACACGAGATATCATGGACATGCCACATAACTCGGCCACGGGTAATGGGAGAACTATGTTGGCTAACCGTCTTTCATGGTTCTTTGACCTTCGTGGGCCCAGCATCATGCTGGACACGGCCTGTTCGTCCAGCTTGACGGCGCTGCATCTGGCTACCCAGGCACTACGGGCAGGCGAATGTAGCCAGGTAAGCGAGCTGCTATATCAAATTGAAGATAGGAACTGATGATCGAAGGCACTGGTGACCGGAGCAAGCCTGATATTGCATCCGAATTTTACCCAGCGGCTGTCGTACATGCATATGCTCAGCGCCGATGGTATCAGTCACTCTTTTGATAGTAAAGCTAATGGGTATGGTAGGGGTGAGGGGTTCGGTGCAATCTTGCTGAAACCCTTGTCCAAGGCCATGGCAGACGGTGACGCGATAAGAGCAATCGTTCGTGCTACTGGCTCTAATCAGGATGGACGTACTCCAGGAATCACCATGCCGAATGCAACCGCCCAGGCTGATTTGATCAGATCAACCTATTCTCAAGCTCGATTATCGATGGGAGATACGTCTTATTTTGAAGCCCATGGAACTGGGATAGCAATTGGTGTTAGTATGAAGTTCAATGTTGTGAATCAAGGTACTAAAAGCGTCATTAGGATCCTACTGAATTATCTGCCATCGGAGCAAGCTTTGGTGCCGAACGAAAGCCAGGCGATGAGCCTGTTTACATCGGATCTGTCAAAAGCAACCTAGGACATACCGAGGGTGCTGCCGGCGTAGCCAGCATTATCAAGGTGGTTCTTTGCTTAGAAAAAGGGATGCTCGTTCCTAACGCAGGCTTCTCGAACTTGAACCCTAAGATCCGACTGGAGGAATGGGGCTTGCGCTTAAGCAACACCACCACACCGTGGCCACCTCATCTGCCGCAGCGTGCAAGCATCAACTCTTTTGGCTTCGGGGGTGCGAACGCTCATGCTATTCTTGAGAGCACAGCGCAGTATCTTGGTAAGACGCAAACTTCGTCCGACACCACAGAAGGGATAACCCAAGTCGTTGTGGTCTCTACGCATGATCAATCTGGGTTAGACCGTACGGCGGACAAGTGGAAGAAATTCCTTGATTCAACCGCATATGGCAAAAGAAAAGGCATTTCATTGCCAGATGTAGCACACACTATGGCTACACGGCGATCCCAGCTCCCGTTTCGCAGCTTCGCCGTAGTTGATTCGCTAGCAGAGCTACAAGATGTGATGGCCGCGGGCTTGCCTACTTTTCCTCGGGCAAGCCGTAAGAACCAGACGCACCTCGCGTTCGTTTTCACGGGCCAAGGTGCCCAATGGCCACGCATGGGCGTCCAGCTATTGACAAACCCTGTGTTTGCGGCCAGTATAAAACGCAGTCAGCAGGTGCTGCGGAGTTTTGACTGCCCGTGGGATTTGCTCGCGGAGATCCGTGCAGATGCAACTACTAGCCTCATTAACCGACCTGATCGCAGTCAGCCCTCTTGTTGTGCTTTACAGATCGCCTTGGTAGATATGCTTCGCAGCTGGGGAGTAGCTCCTAAGGCAGTGGTAGGCCATTCCAGTGGTGAAGTTGGTATGTCTCTCACTTTGTCCGATTACTCTCCACGAAATAACTGACCTGTGCTTTAGGTGCTGCCTATGCGGCCGGCTACTTGACTCATGAGGATGCCATTCGAGTGACGTATTTCCGCGGTGTGCTATCACAACGGATTGCTGAAAGTGGAAGCCGCGGTGGTATGCTCGCTGCCGGTATCTCTGCCGCTGATGCGCAGAGATATTTGCAGACCCTACCCTCAGAGTCCGTGGTAGTGGCTTGTGTAAACAGCCCATCGAGTGTCACTCTTTCCGGCAACATAGACGAAATAGACCTGCTTGAGGGGCGCCTGCAAGCAGATGGTCGTTTTGCGCGCAAGCTGCGCGTAGACACTGCATACCACTCACCGCATATGAGAGCGTTGGCTGATGACTATAAAGCGGCCATTGAATCTATTCAGCCAGTCGATAGGTACAATGGTTCCATAGCTATGTTCTCGTCTGTCACAAAAGAGCTCTTGCAGCCAGCAGATCTAGACGCGGCATACTGGGTGCGCAACCTGGTCAGCCCAGTTGAGTTTGCTGCGGCAGTCACCAAAGTTGTTACCATGGCCGAGGCCGGTAAAGGACGAGGGAGACGGCGAGTAGTTCCAGTCAAGTGGGCAGGCTTCTTGGAAATCGGACCACATGAAGCACTAAAAGGGCCTTTCAATCAGACACTGCAGGAAGCCAATGCTGATTTGGCTTCCATTCCTTACAGAAGTCTAGTGCTGCGCAAGCAGAACTCTCGGCAAACCGCCCTTCAAGCTGCCGGTCTCTTGTGGTGCTTGGGCTATGCGATCGACCTAGATACAGCAAACCAAAGCTTTCTGGACGGCATAAGGCCACAAGTGAGCCGAGACCTTCCATCTTACGCCTGGAACCATCGATCCAGCTTCTGGCATGAGCCATTGGAGTCAGCCCGGCTGCGACAGCGCACAGAACCCCGTCACGACCTCCTCGGTATGCCTTGGGACTACCAGAATGATCTGGAGCCGCGGTGGCGTAATTTCCTGCGGGTTTCGGAATTGCCTTGGCTTGCAGATCATGTGGTGGCTGGCTCTATAGTATATCCAGCAGCTGGCATAGTGTCCATGGTTGCAGAGGCAGCCCGTCAGCTTGCAGACACTACGAAGTGGTTAGAGGGGATTGAATTTTATGATCTTGACTTTTTCCGGGGAGTTGTAATTCCCCCAGACGAACGGGGCCTGGAAGTGGTTCTTCATGTGGCACCGCATCGCGGCATGAATGGATGGTATGAATTCGGCATTTTCTCCTTGCCTGAGAATTCATCCTGGGTCCAACATGCGAAAGGTACCTTTGCTCCACAGTATGCTGATGAAGATGGGGTGGGGTGTGCTGCAGACTGGCAGAGCACCGTACAACGAGTGCGACAGACGCAAGCTGTGGCAAAGAAGGCTGAGATCGAGGCCGTCTATGAATGGCTCTCAGAAACCGGGGGCGTCAGTCTGGGATCGACCTTCCGGTCTATAGCTGGCGTAGCCTTTGACTCAGGGTCTCGTCTGTACGTCACTGGAGTCGCACCAAATACCAAGCAGATGATGCCATATGAGCGTGAATCTCCATGCCTTATCCATCCCACCGCGCTGGATGCCCTCTTTCAGGCTGCCGTGTTGTCCTGCTCAGATGCCCTGACCAACCACAACGCCAATATTCCCGTGGGAGTAGAGCGTCTTTATCTCTCGACAGACTTCTCCTTGCAGGCTGGTGACCGATATGATGTGCATGTCGAGACACGATACGAGAATGGTGTGTCACTTTCGGAATCGATCGCATCCAACCCATCCTGGCAGCAGCCGGGAGTGGTTCTGCAAGGGGTGCGATTAGGTCGCGTGCCTAAGCGGTCCGGTAACTCGACCAAAGAGGAAATCCAGCAAAGCCGGTTCTCGACGCTTCAATGGGCTGAGCACGTAGATTCTTTCCGCGGTTCAGAAGTCCGTCTATCCGGTGGACTGAAGAGCTGGATTGGCCGGGTCTGCCACACTCATGGAGATGCTCGCGTCCTGGCGGTGACTACCAAAAGCACGGATCAGGTCTTAGAAGCTCTCGAGCCATATGCGCCAAAATGCAGTCATCGACCTCGACTACAGCAGCTCACCATCGTTCTATCTGACCCTGACATTGAGGGATCAACTGACCAGGTCAAGGCCATTCAGGAGTCTCTGGAAGGATGTCAGGTTCTGCCAGTTGCATCCCTGCAAGATCTAGACACGGAATTGCTGGGAGAAAGTGCCTATGATGCGGTCATTGTTGATCATCCTAATGTCTGGAAGGGTGATACTGCTAAATCCCTGCTCGACTCTCTCCTTCCTGTTACCGGGCCGGAATCTTGGATTGCCGCTCGAGCAACTGATGAAAAGCACGATGCAGTAATAGGCAATGCGGGCCATGCAGACTGGGAAGTGCAAAGCTTGATTGATGATACTGACTATCTTCTCCTTCGGCGTCAACATGCTTCGGTGAGGCTGGATCCTACAGTCTACATCTTGAGCAGCGCAGAAGATGAGTCGGTTGGCTCTCTTTTGCATGAACTGGATGGCGTCATGAGCAACCTCGGCTCTAAGATTGAGCTGGTAGATATCGATAAGGCTTCAGAGCTGAAAGATAAAACCATCATCTCACTGCTCGAGCTGCAGCGTCCGTGGACAATGAACTGGACGTCAAATGAGATTTCACGCTTTCGGTCCTTGTTGGAAGCGAAGTGTCTCCTCTGGGTGTCACAGTGCCCGGAGCACGAGGCGTCTGGCTATGCAGGCTTCGGGGCTACGACGGGACTTTTGCGCACCGTACGCAATGAAAACCCCCGTATCGTGCTGCCTCAATTACTTGTCTCTGAGAAGAACAAGGATCTTCACAGCCTGGCGCGCAGTATCGCACACGTGTTGCAGCTAACATTGCAGCCCCAATCACGGCCGCATGACTGGGAATTCTATGTGCAAGACAATCGTCTGCTTGTTCCGCGAGCCGTCGCGACTGCTCCAGTGGATGAATGCATGGATACGCTCTTACATGGACCGCGTCCTATCATGGCAGAGCTCGCACAGGACTCGAGACCGCTGCAATTCTGTAATAAGTCGCAGGATATCAGTGATTTCCAGTGGGAGCTGGACGACCGGTTGAATACAGCTTTAGCCGATGATCTAGTTGAGGTTCAACTACACAAGGTCTCCATCTGTGAGCCCACCGGCAAAGGTGGCATCTCCCCAGAGGCACGTACAGCGGCCATCGAAGCAGTCGGAGTGGTCCGCCAGGTTGGGGCATCTATCGGCTCAGCATTCCAAGTGGGAGATGAAGTCTTGTGTGCCATCCCCAGTGATGCGTGGTCCAGTGCTTTAGCCACCCATGTTCGCCTTCCAGCAAGTGCCATCTGGCATTCGCCATCACGTCAGGATCAGGCAAAGTCGGTTTCCATGCCAGTGGCGTTTGCAGCTGCCTATACCAGCCTGTTTGGCAGCTTCGGGGCTTCTGCTTCGTCGGTTCTCATAGTTGGTTCAATTAGCCAGACCTTGCGCGCCACAGTTGACTGTGCTCTGGCTGCTGGTATGCAGGTGTACGTGGCGGTCAATGGCGAGAATAGTCTCAATGAGATGCGCTCCAAGTTTTCTGGTTTGCATGAAAGAATTATTCCCATTCATAGGGAGCTTGATACAACCGTCAAACGTCTGACTGGGGGCAAGGGGGTAGAGCTCAGCGTTTGTTGCCTGGGAGGTTCTGTCAGTCGACTTGCGGCGCGTTGCTTGTCTTACAGCGGCAGGCTGGTGGATCTTAGCGAGGAGCTGAACCTAGCTGCTCTGCCTCAGACATTCGTTGACCGTGGATGCACTGTCAGCTCTGTAAGGTTATCGAGGATGCTCCGCGAAGCTCCCCGCCAGCTGCAGGCCAACTTCCATCGTGCAGTTGATCTTCTTGGATCAGACGCCCTCGCCAGGGTCCAATCTTATCCTTTCTTCCCGGTTTCCCAGATCGCAGATGCTGTTGCGCATGCGCGTGACAGCGGTACCCGTGTGGTTATCGATCTTCAGGCTCCAGGCAAGGTGCCAATTGTGCCAGCTCTCCCAGATCCTGCCCCTCTGCCTGCGGAAAATACCTACATTCTAGTCGGTGGACTGGGCACTCTCGGGATTGCAATAGCCAATACGCTTGTCAACTGCGGCGCCCGTCATCTTGTCTTCTTGAGCCGCTCTGGGGCTGTTCGGGAGACACAGCAGATTACACTGAAAGAGCTTCAAGACCGAGGTGTGCAAACCGATATCGTGCAATGCAACGCTGCCAGCAGGGATGAGGTGCAAGGTTTGTTGACCCGAGCTGAAGAATGTCACTGGCGCATCCGTGGTATCGTACAATGTGCAACTGTTCTCAAGGTGAGTCAGATCACGACAAACAATATTTCCTCAAAGCTAAATTTCATCTCTTACCAGGACGGTATGTTTGAGCACATGGATTTCGACGCGTGGAAGCATTCCACCGAGCCCAAGATCCAGGGGACATGGAACCTCCACGAGGCGTTCTCCTCCACCCCGCTAGACTTCTTCGTGACACTGTCATCCATAGCCAGTATAACCGGAAACATGGGCCAGGCCAACTACGCAGCCGGAAACGGGTACATGGACGCGCTGATGACCTGGCGACGCAAGCACCATCTACCAGGACACAGCATCAACATCGGCTTAGTCCCAGACGCCAGCGGACTGGGCGACGTAGCCGAAACACCCGAGCAGCGACGCCAGCGATACCGACACCTAGAGGGTACCGAGATTCTGCAACATGAGGTGCAAACTCTGCTTCGCGTGATCGTCCAGAAAATCACCCCAGTCCCGGCACAGGTCATCGCCGGGCTAACAGACACGCTACCGCGCACCGACGGGGCAGCTTCGTGGCAATTCGATCGCAAATTCGATCACCGCATTCAAGTTGTTGCTGATGAGGAGGCAGGAACTGGTGTGGTCAAGACCAGCATGTTGTTGAAGAAGGCGGAGTCGATGGATGAGGCGGTGCGCGTCGTGAATCAGGCACTGCAGGAGTATTTGGCCAGGGCGATGGCGTCGTCGGCGGAGGCTATCGATTTGGAGTTGCCTTTTTCGGCATTGGGTGGTGAGTATCATACCTTGATGATATATTTCGTTATAGGCTTTTACTGACGGTAGGGGTTTTAGTTGACTCGCTTAAGGCCGCGGAGGTGCAGAACTGGGTTAGTCGTGAAATGGGCGCGGAGTTGTCCTCGTTTGAATTTATTGGGGCACAGCCGGTGAGGGTGTTGGCGGAGAAGATTGCCACGTTGAGTTCGTTTGTTACTGTTACGTAGGTTATGTAGAATGGCTTTTTGTTCGATATTGAAGTTGCAGAAGGCTAGATAGGATAGAATGTCAACAAATGATTGCTATAAAACACCACAATAAACCCAAATGCTGATTGCCACTACTATATATATGTCCAAGTCTATCGAAGCAAATCCATTCAAACGGTACATCATCTAATTATCCCCCAACAACATCCTCGCAAACTGCGTAGCCGCGGCCCTGCGCTTATTTGCAATATCCAAGAACACATCCCTAGGCCCGATACCTCCCACGATGATCTCGTCCTTGCCTTCCACTAGGTCCTGGAATGCCTCATCCGTGAATTTCTCCAGGGGCATACCGACTTTACGCCCTTCTTCACCCATGAAATCGTGGAGTTCGGCTGCAGAGATATTTAGTCAAACAAACATATATCTTTGGACGAATAGATGAAGAAGACAGTAGAAGTACTACTATGAAATGGATATGGACAAACTCACATTGCACCGCCGGCGGCGACACCTCAATAACCTTCACTTCAGTCTTGCGCAGTTGATCCCGCAGACAGATAATGAAGGCGCCCAGGGCGGCCTTGGAGGAAGAGTATGCGGGCATCCAGGTTGCAGGGACGATGGCGATGTTGGATGTGGTGCTATACATGATGATTATTGATCAGTATATACTGTCCTCTCTGATAGTATATGTTTGTAGATTGTGGAAGGGCACGCACTATATCAAGCTTGTTTCTCCCCTTTTCCTGGTAAGATACGGCAAAAACGCATGCGTCAGCGCAACATAGCTGGTAAAGTTTACGTGCATTTGCTTGTAGAAGCTGGATAGGTCGAATTTCTCGGGGTCGGTCATGTCGGTGGGGAGCATGATGCCGGCGTTGAGGAAGATGCTGTCGATTGTGGGGGATTTGGTCATTATTCTGTTGAAGATGGGTTGATTAGTAGTCATTCTTATATATAAACGTGGTTTATATATAGAAGGTACATACTCAGCAGCAAATCCAGGAATCTTATCCAAATCACCGATATCAAACTGCACCGCATTGGCCTTGTCTTCGCCGTGCTCTTGCACGAACTCATCAAGGCGCTCTTTGCGTCTTCCGACGACTGTGACTTTGGCTCCGGATTGCACGAGGCGTGATGCCAGAGCTCGTCCGATGCCGGCGGTGGCGCCGATGATGAGGATGTGCTTGTATGGGAAGGACATTGTGCTTTGGAGTGGATTGAATCGAGTTGAGTTGGGTTTGTATCGGAGATCTTGAACTGAGATCACTAGTGCTTGGATTGAGTAGTAGATTCTGAACTGCATCATCATAACTTATATACTTCAGTAGATCGAGTAGTAGTGATTAGTAGAACCGGACAGCGGAGTTGGTGGGCCGAAGCTTGATCTCCGGGGATTCAGATTAGAGTGTATGTGTGGCTGTCGGGTTCCGGACTTAAAGCCGGGATGGACGGACTTCGTCGGATTTCTGGATAGCCTCATCTGGAGTGGTCGGAGATCGAGTATTAATTTGACTGATGACGGAGATATAGGACTCTACGGATTTATACTATTATTCTAGTTTGCGCATGTTGTGCGCAAGATGTGATCACTGCTACTGTCAACACCATTAATTTGTATACAGAACTGCAGTTATACTTCAAGTAGCCCTACGCCGAGACTCAGTTATAGGATGTTCATCCCAGCACACTCTACACTACTAAAGTCCTCTGCTTCACTAGAGTCTTTATAGAATGGTCAATCTCACACAACTACTAACACAGCACATTAACCCAGTAGCCAAACCCCCCTTCTAAGAAACAGTAGCCATCACGTGGCGTAGTGCCAGCTGCGTGAATAAAATATCCACTGATGTCCCAGAAGAGGCAACGCGTCTCGCTTGTCAACGCGTTGTATACAACAGGTAGTGAGGGCCTTATCTTTCTCGCACAAACACAGCACCTTCTACCTCTTCATCATCATCTTCTTCTACAAGGTGAAATCCCGAATCATCTCATCTTTCATCTCGTTTCTCATCTCGCTTCTCGCATACACTTCCATCATAATCTATCTCCCTACCCATCATTGGCATACAGATAGTCAATCATCATGGATAGTGCATTCCCTCAACGTCCCTCCTTCGTGAAATACGGCCCATACACCTACGATGACTATGGAGTCACCGTAGCCAGCATTCCCAGAGCCTCATCGTTGATCTTGGACACGCTGTTCCCCGTGAAACCGGTCACTGCACCCAGCAGACGGCCTGTGAAGCGTTGGATAGCTGCCCAGCTTCAGCATTTCGGCATCCCCTATGAGCCTTCTAATACTGTTGCTCAGCTGTTGGCTCTGCTTGAGAAAGAATACAGAGACGGACACGTAAACACTCCACTTCATCTTCATCCTCAATCTTAGAAATCAAAAGCTGACCAAAGACGAATCAGTGCAAATATGACTCGCCTTCGGTCCTCCTCCTCGAGAAAACCCTGTACGACATGTACCAAGCCGTGCAGGAGGACTATCAGCAGCAAAAGGCTGACTGGCGGGTGAAGAAGTTCGCTCGTCAGGTCACCCCCTCCGACGAAGCTCTGTTCGACCCTTCTCTCTTCATGGCCAAGTACTTCCTCGACAAGGAAGACGGTGTGCCCGACAAGAGCAAGCAGTCAAAGGCCATTGTCCTGCACAACGTGTACAACCAGCAGTTTGTGAGCATTGCTCTTTCCATTTCCGGTCTGAGCTTCCAGATCAGTCACCCAGCCACCGTCATCGGATGGGCTGACTCCTTCGAAGAAGGCTTGGATGCAGGTTTCGCCAGTCTGGCAGACAACCACATCAAGGAATATGTGCCGACCTTCGAAGCGAACTTTGACCACCGCCGCTTCCTGAAGAAGTACTTCCTCTCACTTGACTACCCCTTTGAGATGGGTGTCCCCGCTCACGACAGAACCCTGGAGCCCGTGCAGCTCATGCCACAGCTGTATTTCGACGTGCGTGAGAAACTCAGAAAAGCCGTGGCCAATATCAACGGTCTCTTGATCGCCACTACCCCGGGCCGCGGCGGTACCTGGACACTTCTGACCTGGAGCGAGCACGCCGAGAAACTCACCGGAGTAGTCGCCAAGATCCACGCCGCCGGTATGAACGAGAAGTTGTACGACGATACTATCATCGCTCAGGTGTGGCAGACCAAGCTCAGTCGCCACAACCTGTTCAAGCAGCTCGTGAACCCCAATAACATCACACCATTGAGATTGGGCAACCTCCAAGGCCAATATGTCATCCGCTGCAACGTCATCGACCCCTGGGGCTACGAGGACTTCTCCCTCGACATCAACGCACCCCGTCGCAACGATCCCGCCGCGCGCGCCACCTTCTCTCTCGGAAAACTGCAGGGAGCTATGATCCTCGCTCTGGACTGCGACAAAGTCGACCAGATGCGCAAAATGCTGGACAAGAAAGGTCTTACTCAGCATGACACTCCCGAGTCCGATGATGACGATAATTGGGAGAAGGTTCCACGCCTGACCGTCCACCGATTCAGAAACGACAATGTCAAGTGGCGCGTCTACCTCCAGTACGCCGGTACCTGCAACGGCCTGAACCAGGTCGACGAACACAACGAGCAGGTCGGATACATTGACTTCAACGTCGACCCTGAGCGAAGCGACGACGATGAGAAAGCCGTGGGGTATGGTCTTGCCTACGGACGCGGTTATATCGTCGGACCGAATTATATGACTTCGCGCAGGAGCGAGAAGGGTGAGATGCTCCCCATCGAGGTCTTCAAGTGGACTGGCGAAACCGTGAGAGTGGCGGCCCCTTGGAATGCGTTCAACTTCTGGGGTGGATTTGAGGCTCGTTTCAGAGTTTGTGAGAGAGCTATGACTATGACCAAGGGGTATGAGCTTTAGCTGCCTCTTTCTTTCTCTCACGGTGATTGTGATGATGTGAGATCTCTCTTACCTTGTTTTCTGATTTTGTGCGTTTAATCTGTTTTCGCTTTTTTCCTGTATTTCCCCGTTTGTTTGTTCTTTCATTGTGTATTCAAGTGTTTTTTCCCTGTTCCTTTTAATGTTTGTGTGTCTGTTCTGCTTTTATTATAAAAAGTCGCGGAAAAGATAAAAAAAAAGTGAGCTGATGGATGGCGTCGGCGGTGTTTGGGTCTTGTTTCTTTCTTTTCATTTTTCATGTGCGAGTATACCCCGGGATGGAGTTACTTCTTTTTTTTCTTTTTCTTTTTAACGAATGTACGAGCCATGATGAAAAGCCTCGGTGTTGACTAAGAGGAAGGTGGGTGAGATGGCTGATTTCTTTTCAAACTAACGGGATAAGATGAGATGCGATAAATCGATGGGGAGGGAAGAAAATCGAAATGTATGATAGGTATCTCAGATAGTGGTCACCGACTTTACTTACTTAGTGACAGTTAATGCAATTCATTGAATTGAGAAATTGGTGCGTTTGCATAACCTGCCAGTCCGGATGTACGAGGTTCCGGGACTCTGTCTTCATTTTCATCTTCATCTGCATTTCATATTGGAACTATTTGCTAGTTGTTTCGGATTCAGTTCGATTCAATGAAGGCAGCAGCAACTCGCGGACAATAGCTAGCTCGCTAAGTACACCTACAACAAACGTAATACTATCAGGCCAGGGTAAAATAGAGAGAAAAAAGAAGCATACATCAATCCACACACCTCAATCAATGAAATGCGTAAAGGATATCAATTCAACAACATCTGCCTAAGACCACTAACTACTACATCACGCCTAAAAAATGGTACAAAATCACCGGTAGAATGACGCGGGGTTAGATACGTCCGTTTGAGACGGGTTATACGCCTGGTATCCTCCTCCGGCGTTCAGAGCAGGATAGGGTGTTGGCGTTGTGGATGTACCTGGGACAGGCGGGGGCTGGTGCATAGGCGGAGGTTGGTGTGAAGGGTAAGGAGGCTGTGCTTGGTGGGCAGGAGGGGGTCTGGAGGCGTCTTCAGGAGCGTAGCCTGAAGCAGGGTATTCCGGGTGCGGTTGT